AAAGAGTGTGAAAAAAAGAGTGTTAAAAAATATTAATAACATTCTTATTTATTAAATATCACAAAATTAGATTATCTTTTTTATTCCTCCATTAAAAAGTTTGGGAGAAAGCATGATTGATATTCTAGATTTCATAGCAAGTATTGTTTAGACTTCACTCTGACCATGAAAATTCAATAAATGAATAAAAGAAAATAACAATTTTATAAAATTAAATTTATTAGTTATTTTTTAATAAAATGGTACAGTACAATAATAATTTTTTAAAAATATATTAGGAGCATAATTAAAAAATAATAATTAATATTACATTGGAAACTTAAATAGTAGTAGTGTAGTACATGTTTTGAAACATTTTCTTTTGTGATACTTTATAATGGACAGAGGAAGTACTATTTTTTGTGCATGTTGCTTCAATTTTACCATTAAACTCATTCTAGTGATTCCCGACACTTTGACTGAGAGAAAGGCACACAAAATAATTATACGATTAAAAAAGAAGTAGCTTAATTTATCTTTTTATGTGTTCATGCACCTGAAAGTGTGAGCGGGAGAGAGGAGAGTGGATATCCACACTCTCACATATGGAGTTTAGAAAATGAAATTGGAGGAACTCTAATAGTTTCACTATGTCATCATGTGAATGGTTTTACTTGATATCTTGGTTATATTATTGGTAGCTTCCATCTTGTAATTCAGTTAACACTATGATACTATGGAAAACATGAATCTTTTTAGTTTATGCAAAATCACAATTCACATGCACTCACATGTTTGAGCGGTATATACACCAGGGAAGATATATAGAATTACTCATGGCCATGTTATGGTGTAACTTAATTATAAGCAATGTCAAAAGAGTAGTTGATTAATCCACTTGGATGTGACTTGTAATTGTTGTTCTCTTCTTATTTTAGTTCATAATTAATTTTTATACTAAAAAGTTTCTTCAATAGTCAAATACATGAACATGGTTGGAGACGGAGTTGTAGTGGTCCCAAGATTGCATTCAGCAACAAGATCTTGAATTCACTGTTTGTAACATTTATTATAGGGTTTCATGGACAGCTAGTGGCAGATCTAATTAAAAAAAAAAAAAAAACATTTTCTCTCGAGTTAACCATATGAACAGCACAGCTGAATAGAAAATCTATCATGAAAGGGATCTGAACGTATACTTGGTTTCATTAAAAGTTTGTTTCTTTAATTAAAAAAAACGTGTGTCCCATAAAAGTTGATCAAATGTTACATTAACTTACTCTAACATCAAAGATGTTTATTATTAACATGCACACGACTTTTAATCAATTTTTTTTAAAAGTTGAACAAATGTTACATATTTATCTACCCTAACTTCAAAGATGTTTATTATTGACATGCACATGACTTTTAATAAATTTTTTCTCTACCTAAAGTGCCCTCATCTTCCCCCCAACTACTTCACTTACCTCTCCCTCTCCTTAACCTCCTTCAACTTCCTCTCCACCCTTTGTACCCTCCACCTCCCTAACTGCATCATCACTACTCCCATGCACTTCCTCTCCTGTCCCTTTTCCTCTTCACTGCAGCATTCTCTATCGCCAAAGACAAGGCCTCAGCCTCCGTGGGCGATGGCAACAACGATCATATGCATGAGCCGCATCAACACGTTGTACTTGAACGTATTGGCGAGGAGAAAGTGCATGGGGTGAAAGTGGAGGTGTGGGAGGTGATGGTGCAATTAAGGAGGTGGAGGATGTAGACGGTGGAAAGAAAGTTGAGAGACACAAAGGAGATAGAAAGGTGGGTGGAACAATCCAAAAAAATGAGGGCATTTTAGGGAGAGAAAATTTATTAAAAATTATATGCAACACATATCTTTGAAATTAAGGGAGATTGATATAACATTTGTTCAACTTTTAAGGAGATCTTATATATGTCTAAATTACTAAGAGATATTAGGCACAATCATAAAAAAAAAATACAAAAAATACGAGTGTAATTTACTCTTAATTTTAGTTATTAATTCATTTGTTGTAAGTTTTTATTTCTTTATTTTTTTCAGTTTCAAAACAAAGTTTGGCTTTTATTAAAAATTGACTTGCAATAAACTATGTGTCTTTAATTATCAATTTTGGAACATTACGTGAGCTAACTCTATAAAAAAAATTGTCGTGCAATATTATTTTTAGCTTTTTAAAAGGATGATAAAACAGTTTTTTTTTTGTTTTTATTTCTTTTATTTTGCATAATTAAACTATAACTTTTAAAACATTTCTTGTAATCATATATATATATATATATATATATATATATATATATATATATATATATCATCGATCTCAAAAATAATTATTTGACTATTGAAAGATATTGATGTTGTTTTTATTATTTATAATAACATCCCGAAATGATATGTTGACTACTTTTACAGCATATCTTTCGATTAATTTTTTCAAATATGTATTTGTTTGTATTAAATTATTTTTAAAAGAGTAAACTATTAACATGATTTAAAAAAAAAAGGAGTAAGCGTTAAGAAGAAAAAAGAGGGTGAAAATATATTATTATTATTATTATTATTTAGTACTGTTGTTCTGTTAATTTATACAGAAAACATTGACACTGATTGATAATATAGAATGAATATATGGGAAGATAAGATGTGGGGAATTATGATGGAGACAATTGCCTTGATGAAAGAGTACATAAATGAAACAAGATAGATAAAAGCTGAACTAAGGACGCGTTGTTTTTTTTGGATCAAGTTCATAATGTAGAAGATAATAAAGGAAAAAAAAAAGTTAAATTGTAGATTAAACCTTATAGAAGTAGATATCATCATCGTAAAATTTACGTCTCTCATATAAGTTTTATTCATAAGTATATGTTTAAAAAATTTAATTATTTATCAATTATGTTAAATTTTATTAGTAAAGTATATGTCATAATAATAAGAATGGACGTAATGTTAGTACAAGTACATATTCTCAAAAGTTGAAGAGTATAATATATTTAGTAAAGTAATAACATTATTAGTTTAAAGAAATAATTTAAAAAAAAATATTTCATTTATAAAATAAAAATTAATATAATATAAGAATTGAGATGGAACTTAAAATTATGTTTTATTTAAATAAAATAGAAATAATGCAAGTATACATAAATATATAATAGATTAAGTGTGATACAATTTTAGTTAAATGTTATATGAATGAAGAATATTATTACATTATCAAATATTGCATGATTCTATTTTAGAGGATTTGAAGTCATTTGGAAATGGAATGACTATAGTATTGTTTGAAGGCCAATGGGCCCGTTGTTTTTTATTCTCTGCCATTATAAAATTGGGCCTGGTTATGTCTTATTTTATTTTATTTTGTATTTTTGTAGCAAAAATAATTTTTCAAGAGGAGCTTGTTGTTATATATTTATTCATGAGCTAACACTCTTTATATATAGAAACTATAACAAATTTGAAACAAATTTTTTTAAAAAAACTTAATTATTATTTTAAAAAAACTAAAGACATCTAGACATATTATTCTCAACACGTTACAATGATGATTCTATAATAGAAATTTTACCTTGTCAAATATTTTGTAAACTCGGTTATAATCTTTACTTCACCAATTACCACGTATGATAAAACATGGTTACAAAATCTGAACTTGAATAAATACACGGATGAAATTAGTTGCATGTAATATTAATTAATTTTTTGAATTATTATTAGTCAAATGTTTCAAATTATTCTTTAATTATAATTTGTCTCTCCATTATACAGTTTATACACAATTACAAACACTTATCAAGTATAGGAAAAATTTTCAAAAAATCACTCTTCACTTAACAACAATCATGGATCTTAGCATAAATTCAAGTATATCATCTTCGTCCATCTCTATTATATAATGATGACTCGTACAATTCAAACATAATATTCAACTAATTGAAATTGAATTAGACTATGCAGTAGTCTAAGTATGATTGGAAGTTTTAAAATTGAATTAAATCAATTTTAGTATAAAGTGTGAGTTTGGACACACGTCTAATGGTAAATTCTCTGACGGACCAGTTTAAGAAGTGGTGCA